TGGTACATGAGACGATTAAGAATCTTCTCTCAAATGTTTTACACAAGCAGCTATAAGAATATTGGCGAAAGCTTTTTGTTGATGGGTTTAGGAATTGGAAATGATGAGGCTTTTTGGTCCAAGATTGGGGGAGCTCCCCAGTTACATACCATTTATATAATTCAAGTAATGGTTTTCCTGGTATCGACACAGAAATCGAGTATTTTTGTAAGTAAAATCATCCCCCACCAGGCGACGTGGAGTTCCCCTTTATTTAGCGCTGGCATCAAGTTCAAAATTTATGAAAGGAATGTTGCAATCATCGCCTTATGACAAAAGCAAAAAAGTCTCTCCCTTGCATCATTTTTTCTTTTAAATTTTTGCCTGTGTGGTCGGGGAGATTGTCATAGCAGATGTAGCAGCCCAAGCACTGACTAACTCATTCCCCCTTTGCAAGGGAGAGGGTGCGCGATCTGCCCGTTGGGTTTTACCCTTAATTCTATTTATGTCCCCCATGCCCGCAAGGGGGGTGTGAGCATAAGACCTTTGAAAAATTTTTTTCCCAGCGGTTTGCCGCACTCTGTCATACGCCTCTGGCAGCAGAAAGGGGCATTGGAAAGGCCTCAGCATTCCGGGGGAAAACGAGTTTTCTATGGGCTAGGCCAGTCTGCGAGCATACTTTTTCATTTAAACGAATTTAAATCTTTGAATAAGTAGGGTTTTTTTTGGGGAGGTATGTTATTAGGAAGTTTTTTGGGTTTAGAGTCCCAAAGGGGTTGCAGGGGGCGGCTCTAAGTAGTTCTGAATACTGCTCAAAAGATCATTTTTAAATCTCTACAGGGGAACACTCATAGAATTATACCACATCACAGTGAAACAAAGTCATCATGCTGATCTGGGGGAACATTAAAACGTTTCTTTTTGAATATCCCACCGGGAAAGGTAGTATTACCAATATCTAGGGGGGGGTTAGCCTAGGAAATGACAGATGCTATATCTTTACAATGGAAGACTCACAGCTGGCAGAATAATGTTGAACCCCAGGCACAGTCAAGACGCCTCCATAATATGTGTGGGTTCAAGTCACCAAAATTTTGGACATTACATGACTGTTTAAGAGTGACAACAGTTGATTGCCATTACTTTTCCCAAAACGGAGTTTCCAATGTTTTTGGGGTTCCTCGCATTGTAATCGCCAATAAAAAGTAGGCTCAGAATGAGCACAAGTTGGGACTCCAAGTTTTTAAATTTTATCAGCAGGAGGATCAATTTTAAATATGTTGAGACAGATTTCCCTATATAAATCCTAACACCGTATTTTTACCCCCTTTGTTTTTTTGTGTGCAAGAAGTTGAGGGAAGGATTTTTTAATATATAGAACAAAGTTTTTAGTAATTTGAGTGTATGCAACAAATGTGGAAATTTAGGGGGGGGGGTTTTTCAGGACCGCACCTTGAGACACACAAATCAAGGGGTTCGTGGGTTTCTTTTGATGAAGTTCAGGGAAATCTTTTTCTAATGAGCAATGTTCCAGCTTAATATAAAAGTTTAAAACGAGTTTTTAAACCATTATAGTAGTCCCGGGGTCTTGCCGAGTTTTTCCAGCAAATGAAAAAATTGTTCTATAAATAGGAGACCTTATCAATGTCAAAAGTCACCCTTTGTCCTGAGTTTTTTAAATGATCAGTTGTAAGGTGGGGGAGTCTTGAAAAACCCGAGAAAAAAGGTTTAAAGGGAATGTTTTATCCCCCAAACCCTTTTAATTTTACTAAAAATTCACAAAAAACTGCATAAGCCCCCTACCAAAAATTTTGTTTATTACAGAACAGTTTGATTAAATTATTCATGTGCAACCCTAAATTTTGAACCACTTAAAATTACGCTCTCAAATTACAACTTTAAAAAACCACCGCCCTAAATTCAAATTAAAATTTGGTCACCCTTGGACCAAAGCATTTAAGGCAGGGGAAATTCCGACCTAAAAAGTCAAGAATTTTCCCGGGGCGCTAACGGAAAAAAACCCTCAATTATGGGGGTTAGGGTTTCTAAACCGTATTCCCTGGAAGCAGGAGGAAAATAATGATTAAATTCCCGATTCCTGGGGAATCCCTTTGGAAAATACCCCAAAAAAAAAAAATTCAAGAAAGTGACCTCCCCCCTGGAGGGGCACTCATTTTTAAAAAGGCCTCTGGGGGGTTCCGGGGCCCGAAAAACTGTTATGCCTGGAAATAAGGGGAAACCAAAACCCCCTTCATTCAACGGGCACTGGAAAGCACCCAAAACAGTTTTTCCTACACCGGGTGTTCACTTTGTTTTGCACCAACAGCAACACCTTTTCACGCTATCCCCCAACCTTAAGACCCCCGGGGGGGGGGGACCCCCAAACTCTTCCATAAAACCTTCCATAAAACTAACATTATAGAAAACCACCCTCTCATCACACTCTTCACCACCACTTAAATTAATACGCTCATCACTATTACTTACTAACATCATTGACACCATAGCCTTCGGTTATGATGCTCACTACAGTTATCAACACAATATTATATTCGTCATTACTGAGATAAGAAACCACCCGCCACCTGGTTCAGCAGCCTACACTTGCTATCACAAATTGTGACAATCTTGTTATGGTAACACTTCTACACATCTTTCCTTGTGTTTGTTCAAAGTTGTTGTTTTCAGGAGAAATTGGTTGTGTTTCCAGTATTTTTATGGCGCACATCAGGTTGTATACCACAGGAGCAAGACTTGGGAACATCTGGAGACGTGAAGTCCCGGTCAGCTGAGCTATTTGGCTGACTGTCACTGACTCAGCTAGCTGGTATTGACAGCCTATGTGATGGAGGTCTGTTTGACGTGCTCCCCCAGGTGAGGTGCTCAACCCCATTGTCTGAGGGGCAGGCATGAGCCAGTATTCAGACCCCGAGGTACCTGGTAGTCGCTGGGTGGCCATTATGAGGGTACAGGGTGAAGTGCAGGTTGCTGCGATGCGATCAGACCCGTCACCTGCAGTCAGCATGAGCGTGCTGTGACTCCCTGAGGACCTTACAATTGAATACATTGTTTAGAGCAACAGTCTGTTGCTGTTGATCATACATAACACCGTTCAGAAGGATAGCATGGCACACACTGCACACCAGATTAGATTTGCCACCGAAGTGGTAGTTTATTGTCAACCCATATCCATCCTGTGACGGTAGCGCGAGAGCATATGGATACACAAAAGGCCTAGACAGGCCCCCAAAGGTTAACAGGATTACATATGGATTATTCGACTATCTAAAGTTCATTACTTATCTGTTACAAGCAAATTAGGAAATTTGCTGAGTATATCTGGTACTTATTTCATTAATAAATATCTTGACATGTCACATAAGGTTATTATACTGTCTGTCGCTGTATTCCTCTCCAATAAGTGGACAATTAAGCACATAGGTTCAAGAAGTGACCATATCCTGATCACATAATTTAATTAGTTTGATCATCATCTGTGTGTCTCCCAAACCTGCCAGAAGTACTTGT